AAGTGGGGTAATACCACAGAAAAGTAGTCTTTGCATTCCACCTGAACACCACTAAGCCCTAAAGCACTGCAGATTATGCTGATTTATCAACTACCAACAGCCTTGTTCTTATTAAGCTTCCTCTAAGATTACCTGCAGTTCTAAAATTCTCTGACGATTTCATGTGATCTTGATCACAAATCTTGATACGAAAAACTGGTAACAGACTAATGTTCCCTGCGTGTGCATATTTTGTCCTTTTTTTAGCACTGGACTTTGGATTTCTACTTTGCAAACTTAGACTGGAGGTGGCACTGAGATAAAAGCGTGAACTTCCAGGCCAGCATACTTGAGTCCCAACCCTGGGCCTCGGGCAAATCGTCCACCTCTTCTGTGCTCTGGTTTCTTCACCTTTAAAATGCGGATGGTAACAGTACCAACCTCAAAGGGTCATTATAAGGATTATTATCTGTAAAGCATTTAGGATAATGCCTAGCACACAGCAAAAGTCCTGTGTTAGTAATGGCTAAATAAGTACATAAACAAATAAGCAAGGCGGATTCCTTAGTTTCTCTTGAGCTTAAAGACCTGTAAATATCTTCTAATCAAATACATCTCACTGATCTTCCCACTCTGATTGTTGTACACTGAGTAATATACTCTATTTTAAGGTAACATTTTTTAAAAATGGAAAGCAATTTAAAGTATGGTCTTATTTTGGCAAAACAGAGTTTTATAGCTAAGCTGTCATATCAAATTGGGATTTAACATTCTGGTAAGCATCAAAATAAACAAAAAAAAAGTTTTCATAATCTTCCTGCTCAGCAAAAATTATCAAGACAGATAGTTTATCCAGGAAGCTTTGCTTCCAGTCAAGGAAGAGCTATCACGTAATCTCATTACAGTTTCACCTAAGTATTGATAAGAAATTACTGGTGGCAGTGAAGGAGGCCAGGGGGATGGAAAAGAGGTGCTACTTCCACACATCCATCTCCACAAAAAGAACAAAACTGGGGAGTTTCAACCACAGACACACATAATATAATCAATATAAAATGACATTTCATTCCCAAAGTAAATGTCTAATTAAAGCCCCAAGAGAAGATCTGAGACCTGCAAGGTTAACCATTGACACAGACGGCTGATTACAACAGCTGATCTGCACTTTGGAGGGTAAATTTGAATGTTGCTGTGTTGGCACGAAGGGGGACACGTGGAAAAGGGACAGACGAGGGGCACCAGGGTTCTGCAGACCTGACGCTGGGGCTTGAGCAGGGGTCGGGGACGTGCCGACCCTGCGAGAGCACAGCGAGGGGCTGAGAGCAGGTGGAGCTGACCTGGAGAGGTGCAGCTTAGACTCCTCATGTTCCGAGGCTTCCCCACGAATACTGCCACACTGAAACCTGTGGAAGAAAACTTCTAGAACCCTGCAACTCGACATGTCAGGACCAGGACTAGACTTGTCCGACCCCATGACCGGCTGTTTCTCAACTGTGTTTCTTCAGTTTTATACCACGGCTTCTACTAAATTTTCATCCCCAAATTCAGATCCCACTACACGCTCATGATACCAAAGTGCTAAAATGAGGCTTCATCTGACATGCGACAGTGGACACAGACAGGGTACATCAAAGGTCGAGCAGCATATTTCTTACACCAGGTTTTTTTTTTTTTAAAGAAAAGAAATCCAAGATCAAATATACTGCTTGTTCCATGAAGACAGGGGCCTCTCCGCCTTCCTGTCACTGAAAACGGTTCAGTTCCTCATCTTGCAAACTGACTGGGTGGCTGCTGTCTTAAGGCACTGTGTGCAGAAGAGGGGAAGGTGTGGGCCGCACAGGAGGGGTCTCACTGCGAGGAGGCACCCGTCCTCAGCANGTGGAGCTGACCTGGAGAGGTGCAGCTTAGACTCCTCATGTTCCGAGGCTTCCCCACGAATACTGCCACACTGAAACCTGTGGAAGAAAACTTCTAGAACCCTGCAACTCGACATGTCAGGACCAGGACTAGACTTGTCCGACCCCATGACCGGCTGTTTCTCAACTGTGTTTCTTCAGTTTTATACCACGGCTTCTACTAAATTTTCATCCCCAAATTCAGATCCCACTACACGCTCATGATACCAAAGTGCTAAAATGAGGCTTCATCTGACATGCGACAGTGGACACAGACAGGGTACATCAAAGGTCGAGCAGCATATTTCTTACACCAGGTTTTTTTTTAAAGAAAAGAAATCCAAGATCAAATATACTGCTTGTTCCATGAAGACAGGGGCCTCTCCGCCTTCCTGTCACTGAAAACGGTTCAGTTCCTCATCTTGCAAACTGACTGGGTGGCTGCTGTCTTAAGGCACTGTGTGCAGAAGAGGGGAAGGTGTGGGCCGCACAGGAGGGGTCTCACTGCGAGGAGGCACCCGTCCTCAGCAGAGGCAGGAGCCCACACCACGCAGTCCACAGGACAGAGGACAGCCTCTTGAAGGAAGTGGCATCTGAGCTGGGGCTCTGTGTGCAGCTCAGGTGACCAGTTTCCTTTGTCTGAAGGAAATGGGAAGGGCAGGGCCATAGGAGGAAAATAAGGGTACATGAGGGCAGGGTATGTGGCGGGCCACCGAGGGGTGCACAGGAGCGCTCACGGTGCAAGCTGTGGAGCGCAGAGCCGCCAGGGCAGACCACTGAGGGCTGTGTGCACTGCGTCAGCAAGCCTGGGTCTTCCTCCACGAGCACTGAGGAGCCACTGAAGAGCCATGCAGAAGGCAGTCTACGAATCCCAGAGTTCTGGGTAAATGTGATAGTCCAAAGCTGGACTGGGGAGGAGAGACCGGAGCAGGGAGAGAGGAGGGGAGATCCTGTGTTTCTAGACGTCGTGGCCTGGACTGGGACGGTGGCACTGTGGTGACAAGGAATGGGGTGTTTATGAAAGAGAACTGGGAAGTCATGGGAACTGAATACAAGGAGGCAAAATTGCAGACGACTTCACCACAAGTGTAAAACTTGTTGAATTAAACTGAATTCACGTACAGACAGATTATGACGTTAGAATCACGGAAGGAAAGCAACTCTGACTTCATGCTAGATTGGGGAAAAGGACAGAGCAGAGAGGACAGAAGGACGGGCTCCGGGCTCAGAGACACCGCCTCAGTCCCAGCTCCTCTCGGTGTCCTTGTCCAGGACGGGGCTGCTGGTACCGCCTTGCACAGATGCGGGTCCAGCCAGAGCCATGTGGTCACCTGGAGATGGCGCCTCCCGTGACTTCCCGAAGGAGGCGGCAATGGTGAGGAACGAACTCCAGCAGTTTACTGTACATGACCCGAAGGCCATCGGGGTGGGACTCTGCAGAGTGCTCGGCGATCACCTGGTGAAAGGAACGTCATTTTAAAAAAGCATTTAAAGAAGTATGAATGATACACTACATGGAAGACAAAGAAAACCTTAAAAGTACACTTCCTCACACCCTGTCCTCCCCAGCAGTGACGTGAGGTGACAGGCCATGCTCCTAGCAGGCGGCTGCGCAGTCCTGACCGTGGGGGACACAGGCCAGGGCACAGAGACTGGCCCCTCGTGATAAGCCACGCACAGTCACCTGCTTTGCTTCTGCGTGTGGAAGTAAAATAGCACCCTCCTCTAGAAAGACTCAGTCGCAGCTGACGACTGCCCGCCACAGCCCCTCACCGCCCGCACCCTGGCCCTGCACGCAGACCAGCGGACGGAAACACACTTCACCTTCGTGTTTTGTTTCTCGTGATAAGGCTGGGAGCTGAGAGTTGGTACGACAGGATAAGAACAGAAGTTTAAGTAAAATAAAATGCACCTATGGTTTATTTAACCTGCCACTAAAACTTCAAATAGTTCTTTAATTTAGCACGTTGGATTCAGTTCAATGAAAATTACAAAGGCATAAACAAATTAGTCAGTAAAATATTTTCACTTACTGATAAATCATGTGCATAATAGTCTTTTTTGACTCTACAGAGATAGCTCTAGAATACAGCAAGGACGTACTATTATGAATATAATATACAAACAGAGGGAACTGCAAGGTCTTTTATTTTTAGTTAGCCTAACAGAGCCAACAGGATTACTGAAATTAATGCCTAATTTTCACTTTCGTCACTGAGATTCAATTTTCCCCTTTACGACACTGAAGACCTGAAGTCGCCGTGATATAATCTTTGTTGCTACTGGATGGGAAGAACATTCATACTCTCACGACCGGGAGGACAGTCTTCAGACTCTGCGGATGGCCCTGTGACTTCTATGCTGTGAGCCACAGGAACCTGCCGCTGTCATATGTCAGAAAGTGCTGAGTACCAGCACGTCACACAGCACAACCCCGTGCTGTGCAGAGGCAGATGTCCCTCTGTCCTGTATTGCAACTGTATCCTCATCGGTGAGGGATACTGGATAGCCACGTTCTGCACTGAAGCTGTCACTCTGCTAGTTTGCTACAGAAGTCCTTCAACTCTGAGTCATCCCCCCCTCAGCTTCCCGGCCCAGCAAACTCCCCTGTGTTCTCTGAGACTCAGGCCAAATGTCATCTACGGCCTGCAGCCCCGCGGGGACACCGCCGTCTTCCCCTCCGCATGTTACACCACAGAGCTGTCATGTGCTCAACTGTTTTATCCCACCCATAAGACCAGTGGCTCAAAAACGTTTTCCTAATGACTTCACTGAGGTACAATTAACATACCCTAAAACTGACCTACAAAAGTCCTGCTGCATGCGCTTTCTTGGGCGAGACTGTCACTCGCACTAACGCAAGGTGACACCTGAGCCATGGCATGGCTAGAACACACTAGAGACCATGCTTTCTTACAGTCGATCCTGCAGTAACCAGGAGAATCTTCACAGGAAGATCTCTGTGGCACCTCCTTTTACCCTCACACGCAGTAAAGAGTCCAAGACAGAGTGGACGCTCTATGACACCAGCTGGACAAGGCGCACAGACCTCATCTACGTATGGTTTCACCAGCACTTGACCGACTAAGGCCTCGGCATCCTGCGTCTTGTCGATGGTGGCGTAGGTCCGCAGGCAATGGCGTATGATGGTGACGTCGGAAGTCTGAAGGCCTTCTAACAGGAGACCTTCTAGTGACTGCTGGAGCATGGCCGTGATGCCAGCTATACGCTGCAAGAAAAGACGGGTAAGCAAAGGAAGCTCTGGCCGGAACTCTTTCTAGAAATTCAGATACATACACAGCAAGTCTCTTATCCCAACAGAAGATAACATACGTGAGAGTAAAATATTAACACTTCCTGGAGGTCAGCAATGAACCCCTCCTCCTTTCCATGACCTCTTTATAAGAAAATCTCTGCTTCATCAAAGAATTTTGACAGAATTACAGAATTTCCTCTTATGTTTACTATCCATCATGGATTTAAACATCACGGACTCAAAGCCTGGTTGAGGGATTTGATAAGTCACATCTGTCTACATCATACAACATGTCCAATTATATGACACTCAGAATTCATTTTACTCTCACCATGTGGAGAATGGGACCGAGTCTCTACAGGAAATGTGTGACATGTGACGCTGAGGAAGCAGGGGCCCCCAAGGCAAGAACGGAGGAAAATCCAACGCCAGCCTCAAAGTCTCACAGATCAACAAGAGGCCGTTACTGGTGAAACCACAACCGTGCACCAACCCTAGGCACCCTGCTGTGAAAATCCAGAGCGGCACTTACCGGCCTCACTTTGTGCAGCAGAGGCAGGCCCTTGCTCTGGACGACGTGAGACTGCAGCTGGTTAAACTCCGTGGCGATTCTCTCCAAAACCTGCCCCGTCAAAAGTGGGCTGGCAGAGACAATCATAGAAATTCAGTTCCTGGGGCTTTTGTTTCCAAGAGAACACTTCGTGCCATCAGCAATGTGACACTGCCACACCTGCTGCCCCTTAACTGCACCAGAGAAGGCTGTCCTATGGCCACCATGCCACCAGGTGGAAGCTAAAGCATCTTCCCTGCCATCGGCTGATCCTCCCTCTGAGCCACGTGCACAGCAGGCCTGGGTGTGGTGGGCATCAGTTCAGGACATGTTACGATGCTGCGGGACTAGAGCCACAGGGCCCAGACACTGGCAGCTGCACGTGTCCACCACGTTCTCCACGCTCCTGTTCGTGGCCGCCTTTCTCCCCTTTGGCCACCTAACGCTCCGCATCCCATAGCTTACACCTGAGTCCTCTTCTAATCTCTCTGCTTGCCCCACTCTCCCTTCTTCTCAAACACCACTAGTATTTCCAAAACACCAAATACTTTTGTCTCCTCAGTACGTAAGACTGGCCCTCCAGTGGCAATAAATACAGTATCTCACAGTAGCTTACTTTAAATTCATCCCTTTTTTGTGGCTGGCTGGTACACGGATCGAACCCTAGACACTGGTGTTATCATCACTACACTTTAACCAAGTGAGCTGACCGGCCAGCCTTACTACTTTAAAGTTAAATAGCAATAGCTCAACTTAAAATTATGTTTACCAAACAGCTGAAGGAGTCATCAACCTATACGTGCTGGTCCTAGCAAGAGGACCTTCATTGTGTATCTGCCACAAAGTGTAATAAATGCACATTTTCTCTAAGACATTGTAAGTGTCAACACCACTCAAAAGGACATACAACAGGAAAACCCCTGCTGGGCTTTGCTGAGGCATCCTGTCCTAATGCTGAGAAATGGTGAGAGAAACGTCCATGTCGTGAGGGGTCTGCTCAGCCCCACCAACCCCAAGGCTGATTCTGTCCTGACTGAGTGTGAATTGATTGTTTGCAGATTATCTAAGCGTTTCTTGGCCTAACAAGCATGATATATTTACCATTCACTAACATTACCCTGGTTTAACCTTCTCGACAGGTCAAGACTGCTGATGTGATTTAAAGAGAAGCTCCTACAAGTTGGCCTGGAGCAAGGAAGTGTGCGATGTCCACCATAGGGAAGATGGGACACTCCACAGGAGGGGCGTGTATCAAAACAGAAATCACTGAGGTCACAGAAGCCCGCTCCACACCAGTGAGTGACGTTTGGTACCTTTCTTCAGGCACCTACTAGTTCCAGACACTACAGGTATAAGGAGCAAGACCTGGCCCTGGTGTTGGGGACCTGACGGTCTGATGGGAAAGGCACACGAGTCCATCAGCGCCTCCAGGCCCACATGGTAGACAGCCTGGAGGCCTGATGGAGCACAGAGAGGGAGCATCTAAATCAGAAGGAGGAGGTGTCCTGTAACCACATTTTATCAAAGGTGACTTCTGTAGTGCCTTCTTTGTACATTCTATTACAGAACTGGGTGGGACAGAGTCTAAAGAAACCAGGAGGGTCAACAGTTTCCAATGCAATAGAGAAGAATAAATTATACAAAAACATATACATATTGTTTTAGGATCTGCTTTTGTTTTCACTTAGCACAGTGTCTCGAAACAACCTCCTTTCCAAAATTTAAGTATGTTTTGAGCTGGACTTGGAAGGAACAAAAAGGAATTAGGCAGATGAAGAGGACTTGGAAGTGGGAAAAAAGGGCCTTCAGAAGAGATGGTGGCCGCAGGTAAGAGGGTGGCGATAGAAGTCAGCAACGGTTACAGCAGCCAGGGCACCACGAGCAGCTCCAAACAGCTTTAGTGAGGAGCACAGGAGAAGTGACAAGAGCAGCTGAGGACTTTAAGATGCATCCTGAAGACTTTGGGAAACTGTTGAAAGGCTTTAAGGCAGGGGTGCAATGTGATCAGACAACGTGAAAGAGAATCTGGCAGCTGCAGAGTCAGTGCAGCAGAGCACAGTCCGTCAGAGGCCGCCGCCTGAAGCTGGGCAAGGGAAGCAGCAGAGAGGAGGAGGCAGACGTCCCCTGATGTCAGAGATGTCACAGAGCAGACTCGCCAGGGCTTGCCTAGGGAATGGGAGGAGATACGTGGGGAAAAAAGAGAAAATGACTCCCCCACGACTCCTCGCCTGGGTACTGGGAAACTGGAGGGAGATTTTCTAAGACAGGGATGGAAGGCAGCAGCGAATGGAGAGGGTTGGGAGAGATGAGTCCAGTCTCCAACGAGACCCACGTGAGGTGCCTGCAGCACACCACAGCCTGCCAGGCTCAGGACGCAGACTGACGTGGACTGGAGAAGATGAGTCCAGTCTCCAACGAGACCCACACGAGGTGCCTGCAGCACACCACAGCCTGCCAGGCTCAGGACGCAGACTGACGTGGACTGGAGACGAAGCATCCGGGGCAGGGGCAGTTACAGCCACGAGATTGGATGGTAACCCAGAGAGTGTGAATCAGAGTAGAGCGCAGGGGACAGCTGGCATTAAGGGAGCAGCAGGGTCCATGGAAGGAACAGAGCAGGAATAGACACGACGGGAAAAAAAAAACGGGCCATCCTCCTGCTGGGGCACAGAGTGAGGACACAGCGGGGAGGGCTGGGAGCGCAGCAGGGCCCATTAGACCCCTCAGAACGGACAATGACAGTGACTCTGGTACCTGCAGATGAAGGAACAGAAGGGCTGTCGATGGGACTCAGGAGATGCTTTTGTTAGCCTGCACACCTGTGAGGGCCCACAATACGCCAGGTGCTGGCTGACAGTGCCTGGTGGACTGTCAAACCCCGCTTGTGCAGTTCCTATCAGACCTGCGCTACAGACGACAGCACTGAGACACCGAGCTGATAACCCGAGGCAGGCTGCTTGCAGCCCGTGTGCAAAAGCCTGTGCTCGCCCCGCAGCGTGGGACCTCCCGCTGCTGTGGACCCAATCCACCCGATACACTCCTGACTCGTTCCGCTGCCTGGCTGGCCTTAAATTTGGAGCATGAAGGCAATCAGGCTGTTAACGTGTAACAAAGGACACGGCGTCTTCTTCCTATTTCATAAGTGGCTTCTTTGTTGTTTATGAATTTCAGCTAGATGTGTCCTGTATTGTTTCCTGATGATATAATGCTAATGTATTTTTAATGTCAAGATACACCAACTCTAATACTCTGGGCCTGTCTACACAGTCTAAGATAAATTCTATTCCACATCCTGAAGATCAATAATGATTTTGCCAGTCCACGGGTAAGGCAATTTCGAAGACGAAAACCTTCCACAGGAGGCACACTGTCGCGGATTCCCAAAAGTGGTGTGCTGGAGCCGGGGCTGGAACCACCCAGCAAGGCTTTATGACATGTATCCTCAACGTCACCACCCCATGCACTCCGCTGCTCTCGAGCTACATTTGAAGACACTAAGCCACAGACATGTGCTTTCTTTTTATTTCAGAAATGAGTTCTAATGAAAAATTCTTTAGCCTGGGCATGAAGTATTAATTTATGTGTTATTTAGTGAAAATACTCACCTACTTACTTCTAGTGCAGATGACTCTTTAGAACTTTGAGAGTTTAAGATTTTTTCAATTTTCTCAACTGATCGAATCACTTGAATAAGCCTCAACACGCACATCTATAAAAATGAAAATTAAGCAAAAAAATGTCATGATGTTTGATCTTAATTATCTCATCTCATCCTAAATGCAGGCACACGCAGAGCCAATGGTCAATGAGAAATGCTTAGAGCGCTCTATGTTTTGAATATTTCTACATAATATTGAATTCCCAAGAATGCACGTCTTAATTTTGGCTTTCCAGAACAAACATATTTCAATATTCTGTCACAAGCTTCAAGTTAAAAAAAAAACCAACAAAAACCCGCAGACTTTTCAGCTCCCTCAAGCTCTGCACTCTCTCACGTCTTTCTCCCCATCTGAAGTTACCCTTTCTTTGGGCACTACATTTGTTTTCTCAAGACCCTTTCCTCAAGTTTTTAGTTTCCAGTCATCTTTGTCCTCTCCCTCTACATGTGCATGAAACACCTATATACCTAAGTGTCCATTCATTAAAGACATTTATCATACAAGGCAAACATTATCAAAAAGATACAAAGTCGTCCATTAAACAAATAGTTACTAAGCATCTGTTAAGAACCAAACTAACGCCCCTGCTCTCATGAAGTTTATTTTACGATGTTTCTGGAAATGCACTACACTCGTGAATCTCTGGACAGAAGCTGAGAAGCCGTCTACAAAGAAACAAAACAGGGCCGGCCCGGTGGCGCACTGTTACAGTGCGCCGCTTGGGAGTGCAGCGGCGCTCCCGCTGAGGGTTCGGATCCCACATACAGATGGGTTCCCGCTCACTGGCTGAGCGAGGTGCGGGAGCAACACCGAGGGTTGCGATCCCGTTTCTGGTCCCGATCCGGAACGGGCGCGACACTGAGGGTTGCGATCCGTTGCCGGACACGAAAAAAGGAAAAAAAAAAAAGAAACAAAACAGAAGGCCTCTGAGACAGGCTTGTCTCCCTTGAGATTTAAAAAAAAGAAGAGTAATAGATAAGTTTAGAAAACGCTGGACAGAGCACCAGGCTCAAGTCAGAAGTCTTGAACTCTAATGCCAATCCTGCCATGATATAATCATGATTATAAAAAAAAATCAGAAAATAAAATTAAAACGTGGGACCACTGAAAGGCCAAGGCTGTGCCTGTGGAGGCGTATTTGAAGGGGATCAAAAGACGGACACGCGGCAGGAGGAGGAGCGACACACGGCTGTTCCTCCAGACCGCTGCACCCACGGCAGGATGCCGACGGAGCCTGCTCC